TTACAATTTTACATTTGCACCAAAATGGTGCAAACTTTGGTGCCTACATTGGAGAGCTTTTGCACTAAAATTTGGTACATTTTGATGTCTCCTTTGGGGATGCTCTTAAAAACCCTTGTTTGAGTCTCATTTTGGGAAAAATGTATTTTAGAATATTGATTTTCGAGAGCATGTGTGGTTAAAAAAGAAGGAAAATTTTTCAATTTAGCCTTTGTTTGATCCCCAATTTTTTTCAAAATACATAATACATTTTCTCTCTCTTCTTTTCAACCACACATTTTTCAATAAAATAATATTACATGCAAACACAAAAAATTTCCTTATTTTTTAACCACTCATTTTCTATCAATCTATTATTCTAAAATAGATTTTTACAATAAAATGGGGGTTCAAACATGTTTTTATGTGTAAAATTATTTTATTAAAAAATATGTGATTGAAAATGAGTTTTAAAAAAAATAATTTTTTGAAAAAATGAGGCTCCAACAAGAGCTAAGCATGCCCTAGATTGACGCTATTAATGGGTAATTGCGCATGCACGATACTGCTTATAAAGAGTTTTTTTCTCTTTTCTTTTACATCCATCATTTGAAACGAAACAATTAATCTCCTGTTATAAATTAGAAAGAAAAAGAGATCAAAAGAAGGAACCTATAGATTGTGTGTTTTATTAATAACTAAAACTTCATATTTATAGGAAAGAATTAGGAATACAATGGTAATAAAAACTAGATTTACAATGATATAAAAGTCAATTATAAATGATATTATATTTAAAGCACTTTACTTGACTATTTACACAATAACCATCTCATGAAACATTGTTTGGTAAAAACTCGATGGGACAAAAATGACAACAAATAAAAAAATGTACAAATAATTTGGAGTAATAAATTGTTGCCTCGTTAAATCTTATCAATAAAACCAAACGGGACAAATCTTGATGGAAGGAAAAAGAGGACAGTTACTCCACCTGATTTCAATTCTTGTCTTATATGTCAATATTGATATCTTGTACGTCAATATCTTCAAAAAAATTCAGTGGGACAAAACTTGATTGTTGTAGTAACATGATGATTCAAAGAATATCTCTCGTTGATCTCTTCGAGATCCTATACATATCGGAGTATTATTTTGAGGGTAAATATTTTCTATGTTATGGACATTTATTACAAAAAGAAATTGCCCGTTAAAACTTTATTAGGAAAAATTTTAATGAAAGAAAACGAGTACATTTATTCTTTTGAGTACGCTATCAAAGTTGTCTCAATAAAAACATTGTCAAGAAAACCCAATAAAACAAAACATTGGTCAAGGAAAAAGAAGTACAACACGTATTCACTCTCCTTTATGATAATATCACTTGAACTATGTTTCGGGCGTACTAAATTTTTAAGAATAATATTACATTTATATAAGATAAATTGTCTATGATCAGATTTATTACAAACATATCAAATTGCATGCATTGTCATGCTAACAAGGTAGAGACTTGTAATTACATCCACCACATGATAATCTATTTACTTATACAAGTTTTTGCGAAATTCATTATGTAAAGAGTCGTACATTTCATATTACAACTTTATTTTTTTCATTTCATGTAAGTATACTCTTTTTGGTGTTCAGACTGTTGATCCGAAAATGTTAGGTTTCTCTAGTAAATTTAATTTTATTAGGACCGCGTTCAAAAACTTCCGGTTTATCTAGTAAATTAATTTTAGTATGATCGCATCATCTTATTTGACCAACCATTACTTCGATTGATATGTTTCAACGAATTTATTTCAATTCTTCACTATTTATAAAATGATGCAGTGCATCATGTGCAAAAGTATTGTCCACAACTTTTTCTTTTCGATTATATTTCCTTCTGCATAATTTATTGAGATATTTCAATTTTCAACTTATCAGGTACTTGCACATCTTCTAGAGTTTTATAATCTGTTATATCTAAATACTCATCAAGAGTATATGCCTCCTTAGCGTGACAATCTTTGCTAATTGCTCGATTTTCGTTTGAAAATTTTTGTATTAGAATCGAATATCATCGCGCTTCAGGCCTGCCATAGATATATCAAATATAATGCTAATGAATTGTCCTCCTAGGACATCATTCGTGTTGATGTATGAGATATTGTTGATCTATTTAATCAGTAAAAGCATCTGAGTCAATTATCATTTGAATTTCTGATTCAAATTATCTTTGAAAGGATTTATATGATGATGTATTTGTACATTATTTTCAACTTCTTAATTCCTACTTGTAATACTGAGAGAATTGTCCAGTCAGTTGACAATTATCAAACTGTTTTATAAAATATCATCCGTTATGGCTTGATATATTATGTAAGGATTCAAACTACTCATTTATTCTCAATATTCTTTACTTTCCATCTCAGTACATTATGATGAATCAATTTTACACATAAGTCGCTATTAAAATAAATCGATGGAAAAATTAGGTTTTGACCCTAATCCAAGTTATAATGAGGAAAGCTATGATGTTGACATGATGCATAATAGCATTCTCTAAACAGAAATGAGAAGTACTTTATTCTCAATTAAATTAATTGGAAGAGTTTAACAAGTAATAGTGTTAAACCATTTATCGAAATTTCAACTAACACTTACTTTCAATTTATCAAATATTGAGATTTAGGATCGGTAGCATTAACATGACACACCGTCTTGATTACATAATCTGAAAATTATGCTGACAATTTAAAATTTGAGCAGTAATTTCACAAGCTTCAGGTTTCGAACACTCGACCAATATGAATCATGTATTACTTGAAATACATTGCCATTGCATTTGTATCAATAGTTTGAAATGTTTTTCTCTAATAATGGTGCATTGGATGAATGAAGTTTAAGATCTCTAAATGGTGTTAGTCTTCGACCTTCTGACCTAGGTGGTGAATCTTACATTGAGCTATGATAGAAATTTAGGTTAATCTAAATGTTGGATATTGATGTGATAAACGATTGTGACCTTAAAAGGGGAGAAAGCATTATCGGTAAAGTTACTTGCTTTTATTTCGGTTAATCGTGGTTGTCATAAACCCCTAACTAAGGCTTTGATATATTTGGGACATGAGCATGAAATGACATGATCACAATACGATAATATAAGGTTCATGTGACATTATAAATATTGAGGTGCAAATTGTTGAAGTCGGTTGAAAATCGGGCACCAATCGGGTAAGGAATCGAATGAACGATTAAGGAATTAATTTTATAAATTATTTTAGGATCCTATAGCAATTAAATTAGGTTGTAGACACACTAAAATAGGCCAGATACACTGGTTTTCTACTGCAATGATGGATGTAAAATCAGATTTTTACTACAAAGGACACCTCATGCTTGGAAACACCTCATGCTTGGTGACTTGTCATTTTAAACTTCAATTCCTTTGACCTTAAGGCTTCTGATGTCTCCTAACACCCTTAGTACTTCATATATGATAGATATATATCTTATAAGCCAATATGTATCCAAATAAGAGAAGAGAAAAAGTCAAATATTGCTGGAAGAAGCCACCTCCAACTTAACACATGTTATGCTTGGCTGCGTACAACATTTTCTTAATTACTAAGCAAGAGTCACGATCCCAACCCCTTTTAAGATTCTGTATATACCTCCTACTATGATATTTAGCCTTTCAAGTTATCCCTAAGTGAAAGAGAAAGCAAAGGAAACAGAGCGAAGCAGAAACAAGAAGTTGAAAACTGAACTTCTAAATAGGTGAGTTTAGCTCACAATTTTGAAAGTTATTTTCAATGTTTTTGAAAGCGTTACAATCTCTTGAGCCCCTGAAATTGCTTGATATTTTTTGGGGATTAGTGTTTGGGATATTATTATGGCAAAAAGAGAGAAGGATTATTATATATATATATATA